AATGTGATACTGTGGCATCAATGCAAAATTATTAAAGTTATTCTAAAGTTGACTTACATTAATAACTGTATTGAGGATTTGGGAATAACTCGTATTGAATGCATCTGAAGATATGTTAAATGTTGCAAACTAGAGCTGGATCTTGTTGCAAGTATGTATAATACCAATCATAAACAATATTGGTCTCATTCTAGTATTTTACTAGTGTAGCTTAGAAGCTTTTACTAATCACACTGCAGTAATTGAATTCTTACGTTACAGATTATAGAAAATTTAACTTTTTTTTTTTTTAAATTTGGAAAGCCTTATGGTGGGAAGGCACGTGGACGCATGATTTCTCAGGAGACTATGTAGTCTATTATATTGTATGAATATATATCTACTCACCCATGCCTCCTCATCTCCCCCCTTTCCTCTGCAGAGTGCCTCAGATATATTACAGAATTACTTAGTTTCATAAACTGGGTTATGAAAGGCAGTGGGGGTGCTGCATGTGTGGCAAGGTAGGTCAGGCAGGATTTATAAAGAGCACTGCCTGGGATCCACTCGTTCCTTGGCATGTACAGGCTGCATGGCCATGGCACGAGTTCCTTACCTTGCTCTGCACCACTGTCAGTAAAACCAGTCTGGTTTTTATTTGTGTAATACAGGTGTTAAAGCATAACTATGTTGCAAGTGCTTCACAGTGTTTCAAAGATCATTTGGAAAATTAAGTGCTAGATTGTGAAATACGTTGCTGTTAGTCTGAAAGGCTTTCAGCTAAAGGAAAACATTCTTGCTTAGCTAGAAAGATCTCTGCTTTCCTGTCTGGCTTAATTGCCTGAAAAGCTTGGAACTGGAGGGGAGAGGCAGCTCTTGAGCATGCTGTGTCAGTTGTCCGGAAGCTCTTAAAAGACCCTTTTTTGGCTTTTGAAAATAAAACCTTGGGAAGGTTAAACACAGTAGAGTTGGAAAGAAGCAGTCCTTTAGAGGTCCTTCTCTTCTAAGATGAAAGTATTTCAAGGAGCATGCTTGGAGCAGCTTTCTCTTATCTCTGGGGTGCTCTTAAGCAGTGTTGCGGGGAGGGACATGGTCAGCAGTGGCACGTATTCTGCAGCTGCTCTTCCATCTGTAATAAGTTTTAGAAGTACCGAGGAACAAGGAAGCAAAGTAAGATACTAAGATGTTGGGGACTTGGAGCACAGCCTATGAATACAGTATTAAGAGATGCCCAGTACCTTTGTGGGGTGCAGGTTTGAACATCAACATTTCCATTACTGATCTAGCCTCCTTGAACAGCACATATGCAAAGGAACTTAACAAGGTGAGCCGCTCTGTTTCCAGTAGAGTTTTTTTTATTTTTTTTGTTTTTCTACGAGAGACTGCAGTATGGCCCAGAGGTAGGGATTTAAGTTACAACTGAAATTTTCTGGGCAGCTTTTATTGCACTCTGAAATTCAAGCAACCTTTTGCTCTGGGGAATCTCTCTCTGCTCCACCCACATGCCCAAACAGTCAGCTATCCAGAGAAAAGGTTTATTAAGGTCCGAGGGGAAATAAGTTATTTGTGCAGGATAGCCACTTGCTGTTGTCTACTTTTTGTGTTTACGAAGAAGTAACTTAATATGGCTTTTCCTGGTCCTGCTTGTTTGGTTTGGGATTTGTTGTTAGATTCCACTGACAGTCTCCATATCTCTGACAGATGCATGGTCAGGAAGACACGAGTGACGGCAGTGTCTGGAGTCAAAGTGTGCTTTGGCTCCAGTTTATGTCTGGGTACCTTTTTCAGGATTAGCTTTTGTTTTGTTGATGAATAGTTGGTTCAGAATAGTAGCATTAATTTGTTTGAAGCCGCATAGAGCTTCTCAAGTGTATATGTTGCTTTAAAAATTGATCACTGTGAAGCTGTTGATTTTTATTGAGAAGAGAAGAAAGAAGCAAAACTAAAAGCCATTGCATCAGTTTTCAAACATTGCATATTTTTTTCTTGCCTTATTAGAAAAAATGTGTCATTAATAGTCTGGTAGATGTTGGTTAGCTTATTTTGAATTCTTTTTGCAGCAGCACACTGAGTTAAATTTTATGTCTGTAGGCTACAGCAATCTAGAGAGAAAAATACATTGCACACAAAGTACTTAAATTTGTCCTAAAATAATTTCCATTTATTCTTAGTTGAATAGTTTCTGCTGGTTTTGGTATCATAAAAACATCAGTATTCTTTCACAAACATTTCTTATTAAAATAGGTAAGTCAGTTTACAAGGTCAGAATCCCTTATTTAAAAATCAGCAATAACAACTACAGAAAAGTGTTTGCCATGAATTATTTTGCAGCTATTTCCCAGAGAGATGCTAGGTATCTCTGAAGGTGCTCTGACTGTTTTTGTTTTTACTACAATGTCCCCCTACTCCTCCCAGATTTAAAAAAAATAAAAAGGGGGGGGGGGCAATGAGATTAGGGATACTAATACACAGGTATGTCACTGTCCACTTGAAGGTGAAGGAAGATGTTAAATCTGGGTATGCAGCAATATGTTATGGAAAAAGCAATAAAAATTAAGTCTCAGAAAGTCAAAATTCTCTGGACAGACTGGGAGTAATCAGGAGCCAGACTTAATTTCACTTTTAGTTATTATAGTTCCTCATCTATTTTCTTGGATTATTCTGATTGCTTACTGAAATTATACTGATTAGTCTGTGGTGTCTGAAATAGTTTTATGATTTTTCATTTGCTACAGCTGAAAAATAATCTAAACACTTCCTCAGCTTTTAGCTGAACTATATCCATATTTTTTTTTATTTTTATATAATATATATTAATTTTATATATTTTATTTTATTTTTATATCCTAGTGGCAGTTTTTGCTGCTTTACTCAGCAGGAGCTCCTTTGCAATTGTAATCTCTCCTGAATGCAGTACATCTTTTGTGGACTTTGATATAAATATATATGTTGCAAAATGTGCTCAGACCAGTGTTAAAGATACAGAGATACAGTATGACTCCCTCTCATGACTGCTACTGTAGCAGCTGGTGTATCACCATCTAAATTGAGGGCACATCTTTTACCTCCAGGCATGTAAGGCTGTGCCAGAGAGAGCCACCCTGTAGCTGGCCTGCCCTGGTGCACTCTGCTTGCTATTGCATGTCGTTTCTTCAGACATGCGCAGATAAAAGCACCTGTGATTGAAGAGCACCTGTCTGTAGTTGGAAATTAGAAAAAGGGATTGTTTTTATGTATAAATAAACATAAAATCAGTTGCCCTCAGATGGCAGTTCCCTTTCATTTCCCCACATGTGAAATCACAAGCACGCTTGTGTTCTGCGAGGAGGATCCCCACACTGAAGTGGCATGGCTCCCGTTACAGGGGAGCCAAGTAAAGAAGCGTGGTTGGCTATTTAATAATCCCTATTCTGCCACAGTCATATTGCCTTCATTCAGAGCCAGAGAAACTGTACTGCAGTGTTTTCTGTTAGTTCCATCTTTCCCTCCTTGCTGGAAAAAAGTCAGCGCCAATCTTGTTGCTGTCTGTGTGCTCAGGGAAAAAAATATTATCATTGATTAATATTAACATTCACTAATATAAAAGGAGTTAGCACTTATTTCTTGTTAAAATGATCTGTAGTTCATAGTATTTCTTTGCCTGGGATTGTGTGCTTTTCATCCTTTCCAATTCTCTTTGGCAAAAGGGTAAAAATATTTTTATATCCCTAAACATGCTCCAGTACTCGTAAGACTTGTAAGTGGCTCTTGGATCCTGACAGTTACATTTTTACTAAGCGCTGGCATAGACATTGCAGTATGTTTATAAACTAATGTTAACTTCAGATATTTTAGAAATACATCTGCACATGAAAACGCAGTCCTGTTCATCAGTTTTAGAGAGACCAAGCCAACATGGCACCAGACTCAGCTCTTTGGAGCTGTAATTGCTGCTACGTTCAGAGTTGTTCTTCAGGAGTTGTTTTGTGTATCTGTAATACACAGAGCCATCTTTGCACTTAAAAATCATTTATACTTTTATACTGATGTTCATTTTTGGCTTCCCAAATTCTAATAGTCTGAGTTGATATAACCTAGCACAGAGATGAGGATGCTCATAGTTGCTGGGCTGGCTGGTGCAAGAATGGAGCCACTGGCTAAGGGGAGCTCTGTGCTGCCAAATCTTCTCTCACAGGAACTGTACTATTTCTGTAATTTTATTTTTCAAATGCAAATCATGGTTTTAAGATTTTTTTCCATTGGTACTGAGTTTACAGGAGCAGTGAAGTTAGATTTGTTTCTGATTGAGAAATACTTGTCAGAAGCAGTAGAGTATCGTTCATTACTTTTCTCTGAAGGTGTTTATTACATATAAATGTATCAGACTATAAAGTCACAAAGAGACTTCCTAGCCAAAAAGATAATTTTGTCAGCAAAGTTGTTGTTACTACTTCTTCTCTGAGGCTGCTGACCTGTGTGTGTCACAACAGGGAAGCCCAGAGGTGTGGCAGGGAGAAGACCTGCAGTGTTACTGCTGGGTGGTGTTGCTTTGCTGCCTCCAGCCCCTGCATGGTTTGAATCACTAAGACACGAGGTATGGCCCTAGACTTAATTTTATTTTTTTTTTTTATTTTTATTTTTTTTTTTGAGGTAGAGAATGTAGGCAGTGTCAGATTTGGGAGAATGGGAAAAGCTTCACCTAAGCATCTGCAAATACAATTTCTTAAATCCAGAGAAAATTCTTTTTTTTTTTTTTTTTTTTTTTTTTGTTCCACATGTCTTAGTGCACGTACATCAATAACATTCTTACTTTCAACTTTAACATGTACTGTTATTTGGCATTCTGTTTAATGATCACTGACCTTCAGAGATTACATCCCACAAACCTGCCAAATTCTCAGCTACAGTACAGGTGTACCGTCAGTTTTTATTAAAATGTTCTACCTTCAAGTCAAGTAAAATTTGGTATTCCAAATTATTGGTGTTCAGCTATTGATGAACATTTTTTTCCCCTTTTTCTTTCAAACTCTCTCCTTCTGCAGGTATGAAGATGAATAATGCAGACCACTGTTTTCGATGATGCTGGGCTTTTATAACTGGATTCATTAAGGAATACAAAGAAAATTCTTACAGGGATCAATAATGGTGTCTTCTGGTTGCAGAATGCAAAGTTTTTGGTTCCTGCTCACTATCAGCTTCCTGCAGTGTACTGAAGGTAAGCTTTAGTTTACTTGTTTACTTTTTACTTGAGTTTGCAAATGAGATGAATGATCTGTATAATTAATTTCTGTTAGACTACTTGAAGCTTCAGGATGTCAAACTAAGAGTATCTGTGTCAGGTTCTAGGTTTAATTTACAAGATTAAAATTGTTATGTTTTTTTTTTTTTTTTTTAAGAAAAAATATACTTTGTGGTTTTGATAAAGTATGGTATGTTGAAACTGGAAAGTTCAGGCAACTGAAACTTAATACCCTTGACTGGTAAGTTCCTTATTTTTGGACTCTTCTATTTATTATTTTCCTGTTCTCATTGTGCAGCCATTTAGAAGCAATGTGTACCATGTTAAATGTGATATAAAATTTCTAAACAGTGCAAATGAAATACCTGTTTTGCTTTTCTAATTTGGCTGGCTGAAAATAAAATGACAATCACTTCATTAAGATTAGAACTATGCACATTAAATTTCAGGAAATAAAACTCAAAGTGCATACAGAAATAGCATCTACTTTAAAAAAATTTCTTTTAAAAAAGGGGAAAAATACTTCACTGCTATTGAATATAGTGATTAAAATAGCTCTTAAATTAAGGAGATAAGGAATAAAAAAGCTTTTTAAAGAAAACTTGTATAATCTATCTTTCTTTCCTCATAAAATCTATCTCCATAGCTGTTCTTGTAGACTTAGTAATAAGTCTTGTACTTAGTAATAGACAAAGCAACACGAACGAATGATCAGGAAAGCATAGTTTGTGAATTTATAATTACAAATATTTGTAACTTGAGGCTATTCCTGTTTATAATCATTTTATTTGACTAGATTACAGGTAGAAATACTGATTTGGTAATAAAATAGCACTTCCGTGTCTTCTTACATTTTTCAGTAATTGGTGTATAAAATATAGGCTTCTTCAGTGCATCTGTCATGTAATCTCACCATCTTTTAAAGCAGATACATACCTTACACTGTCAAAATTCTTTGAATTTAAAGCTGGATTTTTAGAGGAAAAAAAAAGCAAAGCTGCTGTGTCTCCCCCTCTCTTCTTTCCCAAATCTATATAAACATAAAAGATCTAGTCCCTAAAAATGGTAAAAACAAAGATTAAAAATATAAGTATTGTATAAGGGGTTCCACATTTACTGTATAATTTCCTAGATTCTATTCTGGACTAAGACTTGGGTTGTGACAGACAAGCTATGCTAAAATAGATTGTTCATTCATATATATATGAGAATGAATGAATAATATGAACATACACATAGAACAGAGACTATATACTAAGAGACTTCGTGAAGGCTTCTGAACATTGGAAAGTCTTATTTCATTTAAATAGCTTTCACATTTAATTTCTCCTCTCTCCCATCTTTTTTCTTAAACATTGCAAGGATGATATTAGAAAACTGCCTTGCCAAGGCGCGCTGCAGTTCTTGCATGGTTTCATTAGTGATGGTGATTCCGATTTGGTAGCTGCTGCACTGCTTGTTGTCTGTCAAGTATGCAGTCTTCAGTAAAATCTCTGTTTTATAAGAAAAGTCCCATCAGCTGGAAGGTAAACTGTTTTTCAGCCTCTTTGACAGATAAGGAAGATAACTGTATATTAAGAGAACAGAATTGTTAATTTTACAAAAGGCTAGTTAAGTAGGTAACCTGTGATAATTTTAAATGCACTTAACACTGCAAAAGTGGTTGCACTAGGGTGTGGGAAATAGAGGTAACTATTTATGTTTTAAAATGCTGAGGTTGTTATTTGCTATTGTAGTTGTTTAAAATCCCTATATGTAGTACATTTAAATAAATTCAGCAGAGTACTTGCAGTTTAATACTATGTGTTGGTTGAAGACATTTGAAAACAGAAAGGAAAAGCAGATTAACAACTTATTTTCTCTATTTTGGCTACAGTAGCAAACAGCATGTTACAAATAGTATTATGTCAGATGAGTCTGGAAAGGAAAAAGTCAACTGAGAACTTCTGCAGATTGATTTTTTTTTTTCCATTTGCAGAAAGCTAATTTTCATTGTCATCTGTAATATTTCAAGTTCATTTTGTTCTGTCCCTGTTTTTCTTGCTTTCAGTAGCCAGTAGCAATCTTTTGATGCTTCAGTTGTGAATTTACTTTTTTTAAGTCTGTACAAGAGCTGCTTTTTCAGCTAAAAGAAACAGGAAAGGAAATTGGGAGCAGATAACAGAATCATACCAAATTAATTGTAAATTCTTAAAATAAATGAAATATTGTGGCTCTGTATACTAGAAATGAATATTAATATAGAGTTGGCTTCCAGCCACAGAAGCAAAATGAATACCGCATTATTACACTTTCTCACAAGATTACATTGCCTTCTGCTTCAGTAATAAGAGATGCCAAGTGTAACGTGCTTTAGTAGCACTTCATGCCTGGAAGTATGAACATGAACAAAGGTTAAAATAAGAGCATCAAACTTTCCTTAGAAATAAGGAAATCTTTAACTCTCTCACTTGGAATTTATTTTTTTTTTAATAGAAATCTTATGTGCATATGCAGGTTGTTGCAGTCGGTGGGGGGGATAAAACCTGGCTGAATTCCCTGCTGTTATATTTTAATGTTGCAGTACATTTAAAAAGAGAGGGTAAAAAAAGAAAAGACTCTGGGTGTGGACCAGTGATTCATTTATTCAGATAATGAAACGTTTTCCAATCAAGATAAAGACTTCATTACTCTCATGGTGTCTTGACTTTAACTCACCAGCGAATTATTAAGCATATACAGTTATATGAAGGCTACAATTTTTAGTGTCACCTGCCTGATTGGGAATCATATTTTCAGTTTTTTTTTTTGCTTTTTTTTTTTTTCTTTCTTTCGTTCTCTGGAAAGAGCAGTCTAGGTGGGGTTGCTTTTGAAGCAGTCCATACCTTCAGGTAAAATGAACCTGGAACTGATGAGTGCTGGCAGCTGGGAGGAGAACAGCACTGAGTTATTAGATACTGCTGGTACATTGATCAACAACAGGTCAATATTCTTGTGTAGAGGCTTGAAAAACATTATTACCATCAACAGCAAGCATTGCAGCCCTAAATAAGGAAAAGATGAGAAGCATGAAACAGAGGATGAAAAGCTGAAGTTATGACCTTGAATATTAATGTTCATTCAGAAGATTCCTTTCTTTTCCTTTTTCTAGTATGTTTTGCTATAGGTCTGTCTTTAAAACAATGGTTTTTATTACAAAGGACAGATTGAAAGAGCAGCGTTGGCAAATAGTTTGAATCAGAGATGGACAGGTTGTTGTGTAAAGGCTGGCCTCGTATCCTGGCTGACTGCCTGGGGAAACAAGGGCCTTCAATGAGGCTGCACCAGGGTCCATATCTGGGAGGTCTGTGCCATCCCGCAGCTATCCCTTTCAGTCAGATTTCTCTTTATGTATCTGTTTCTTTAGAACTGCAGGAAAGGAATTACTTTTGACACCACCTCTGTCATTTTTTTTTCTCCCTCCTGATTAGGTGAAATCATCCAACACGTTAAAAATTATCTGAGAAAATACAGAAAGGCAGAGAGAGTGGGATCACACATGCCTTGTTTCCATAGCAAAGCAGAGTAAAAAGCTTATTATACATATTATTGGTTTCTCTTCAAGCAAGTTAGGACAGATACACTAATATGCATATGAAAAATAGATGTCAGAGCTAAACATTCTGATTAAGATTTGTTTTTGGGGGCAGTACAAATTTAGCTATTTTAAGCTTTACTTGCTTACATAGTCCAACTTTTCTGCTAGATTTATATATATATATATATAATTGTCTTTGTGAAGCACAGGCACTTGGGAAGCACAGAAGTAACTTTCTTTGCTTATGTTTTATGTTAATCAAGGTTAAATATCCTTCTAATTCAGTTTATTATGAATTATTATCTGTGCTTTGTCCAAAGGAAGAAGCATCATGCTTTCATTATCTGTTTAATTCTGTTTTCTTAAACTACGGTAATGTTGTTTAAAAAAAAACCAGCCTGTTTATGCCTTTGAATGTACATTTTAATTAACATTACTCTGAGGATAATAATTCCTGTAAATTCCATTTATGCCAGCCAAGGAGCTAAGTGTTAAACTGGAAACAGTTTTGAGTGTATATTTGGTGCTAGTGCATTCACTGAAGAGGATACATACTAAATGCAGATAGCATACATTGGGCCACTACAAAGGTGACTGTATCACTTCAGATCTTCAGCTCCCTATGAAGGCACTCCGACTCAGTGTGTTGAGTCCCATACATAAGGCCCAGGTAGAAGCACCTCTATTCTCACACACATTTATTTCTCACACACATTTATTATTAGGACTTTGTCCAGTGTAAAAATTCAAATCTTCTGCCCTGGGCTTAAGAAGAAATCAACTTCTGTTAATTAGTGGATTTAAGTTCTACAAGGGATGAAATTCCTTATGGAGTCACACAAGAGCAAGCAGGAGCTCTAATTTGTTTCCTAGCCGGGGAGTTTATCACAGTGAAGGCTGCATGAAGCTCACTGTTAGTGGGCCACTGCCTGCCTTCGCAGGGCTGCCAGCCGTCTGTAAGCATAGCCAGTGCAGCAAGGCTGGGTGGGTATTGCCAGCCCTTTGGCAGGTCATTTTAATGCATGGTCCAATTCTGTCTTCACTTCTATAATGTGTAACTAATGTAATGTATGATTCTGTAGCAATTGTTTTTTCTTAATTGGTTAATGCAAATTACATAAAAGGAAATATCTAGATGAAAGGAACAACTGATGGAATTGGTGAAAACACATAGGTTTTCACTGGAATATTCTGGTTTGTTCTACGTGGACATCTTTTTCCTTTTCTGAGGCAGGTGTTAGGTACAACATATCTTCTAAAAAGGAAATTGATCTAAACAATGATACCAAATTTCCTCCTAAAGAAAAATAACCGTTAAACTTTTCAAGTGCATTTCCAGATAATAGAGACTGACAGACTGTCTGGAAAAGCCAAATATTCTTTAACATGCTGGCAGTGAATAGCCTTTCATATATTCGCT